GGCCTGATGCCCCTAACTGCTCCCCTGCCTGCCAGATTGCCCCTAACAGCCTCTGTCTGCTGGCCTGATTGCCCCTAACTACCTCTGCCTTGGTCCCCACCACCATGGCTTTGTCTGGAAGGACGTCCGGAAGATGTCTGGTCTAATTAGCATATTACCTTTTTATGAGTATAGATTCCCTATGCTGTACTTTGCATCCTCATGACTCTTCTGTAACTACCAATTTGTACTTCTTAATCCCTTCACCTTTTCATCCATGCCCCCAACACCCTTCTCATCCAGCAACCATTGAAATGTTCTCTATCCATGAGTCTGATTCTGTTCTGTAAATTTATTTTGTTTTTTAGATTCATTTGTTGATAGATATGTCTTTATTTAGTTTTCTAAGTAATTTAAAAAATAGTTATTGTTGAGGGTATTACAGATATCCCCTCTTTCCCCCCCGATTGTCCCCTCTGCCCAGTTCCTGCCCCACCCCAGGCCTTCACCACCCTACTGTCTGTGTCCATAGATAAGATCTTTGATTAATCTCTTCCCATCTTCCCCTCCTCCCTTCCCTTTGAGATTCATCAGTCTGTTCCATGCTTCCATGCCTTTGATTGTTTTATTCACCAGTTTATTTTGTTCATTAGATTTCCTGTTTATTTATCTTGATTTTTAGATTTGATTGCTGGTCGGTATGTATTTGTTGCCATTTTATTGTTCATATTTTTTATCTCTTCTTCTTCTTCTTAAATAATACCCTCCAACATTTCACATAATCCTGGTTTGGTGGTGATGAACTCCTTTAGCTTTTTCTTGTTTGTGCAGCTCCTTATCTGACCCTCAATTCTAAATGAGAGCTTTGCTGGATAGAGTAATCTTGGTTGTAGGTCCTTATTATTCATCACATTGAATGTTTCTTGACACTCCCTTCTGGCCTGCAAAATTTATTTAGAGAAATCAGCAGACAATCGTATGGTCACTCCCTTGTAGATAACTAATTGCTTTTCTCCTGCTGCTTTTAAGATTCTCTCTTTGTCTTTAACCCTTAGCATTTTAATTATGATGTATCTTGGTGTGAGCCACTTTGGGTTCCTCTGTGCTTCCTGGACTTGTAAATCTATTTCTTTTCACCAAGGGAAGATTTCTGTCTTTATTTCTTCAGGTTTATTTTCAATATCTTCCTCTCTCTTTTTCTTCTGGTACCGCCATAATGCAAAAGCTGATATGCTTGAAGTCCCAGAGGCTCCTTACACTATCTTCATATTTTTGGATTCTTTTTTCTCTTCTTATTAGGTATTTTTTTGCTTACTTATATTCCAAATCATTGATTTAATTCTCAGAATCTTCTACTCTACTATTAAATCCATGTAAATTGTTGTTTATTTCAGTTAGTGTATGCTTAATTTCTGACTGGTCCTTTCTCATGTCTTTGACATTCTCACTAAGATCCTTGAAAGTCTCATGAAGATCCTTGAGTAACCTTATAACCATGATTTTTAAACTTGGTATCCAGTAGTTTGCTTGCTTCCATTTCTTTCATTTGAGACATGTTTCTTTGTCTATGCATTTTGGCTGCTCCCTGTGTTTGTTTCTATTTACTAGGCAGAGCTGCTCTGTCTCCTGAAATTGGTAGAATGATCTTGTGTAGTAGGTGCTTTAGGGCCCAGTAGCTCAGCCTTCGCAGTCACCTGAACTGGACACTCTAAGTGTGTTCCTGTGTCGGCTGTGTGCACAGTCTTATAGTTGACCTTTGATTGCTGTTGGCATCTCTGGGAAGAGTTGACCTCCGGGCTAATTGGCTGTGAGGACCAGCTGTGACTACAGTGAGAGAACTGCTATGCAGGAGATGAGGCCCAGTTATGAAGCAAGGTAGGCTGGTGCTAGCAGTGGTTCTCAACCTTGGATGCACATTAGACAGAGGATGAGGCCCAGAAATCCAGATTTTAAAAAGATTCCCAGGTGATTCTAATGTGCAGTCAAGGTTGAGAACCACTGTGCTAGAGTCAGGTCTCTATTGGGCCTTTTATTGATAAGTTTGGGGCACGTTGTCACCATCTTCAGCTTGTTTAAGAGATTTTAGCAAAGTCTGAACCCTGATCCAGGACAGATCATTCATATGAAAAAGCTGCTGCAAACAGCTTGGGTGGGGCTACAAATTTGATGGGGTGGGGTCTCAGGAATCCACAGGTTGGAAAAAATAATGTGGGCCGCATTAATTGAGACTCAGATATGGCTGCCAGTCAGCCCTGTGACACAGTTGGTCCCAGCACAGGAACAATGACCCTTGCGAGCACCCTAGACTGGAAGAAAGCCTCCCCTGAGTCCCTACCCTGATGCCAGGCAATAAATCCTGTTCCTCCTATGTGTCTGGGTCCCCCAAAGCCACCTGGTGCTGGAGCTCTAAAGAAGCAGGACCATGTAAGTTTGTGTGTGGGCCCTTTAAAAGGAACACCTGGGTCTGTGTCACTCAGCCAAAATTCCAGCTGTTTTTTATAGCTCAAAGTTATGGGGACTTCTCTTTTCAGCTCTGGAACCCTGGGATGGGGGTATGGTGTGGGGGTTGGGACCCCTTGCTCCTCATGGGCAGCCTCTGCAGTGATGATCTCCCTCCCGATTAAAAAAAACTGCACACCCGTGGGGATTGGACCGGTCCCTTCTGAGCCTCTGCCTCCTCCTCTCAGTCTCAATGTGCTTTTTTCTTTAATTCTCTAGCTGTAAAACTTCAATTCAGCCAGCTTTCAGGCAGTTCTGAATGATGGTTATTCTATATTTTAGTTGTAATTTTGATGTGGTTGTGAGAGGATGCAAGTACAAGTGTTTACCTACACCGCCATCTTGGGTCTCTTTAGATATGTATTTATTGCCATGTTTTTCTTTTTCTTCTTAAAGAAGACCCTTTCACATTTCATGTAATACTGGTTTGGGGGTGATGAAATCTTTTAGCTTTCTCTTGTTTGGGAAGTTTTTTATCTGACCTTTGATTCTAAATGATAGCTTTGAGGTAACTCCATACTGCTTTCCACAGTGGCTGTACCAGTATGAATTCCCACCAACAGTGCAAGAGAATTCTCTTTTGTCCTCATCCTAGCCAGCATCAACACTTGCTGTTTGTGGATTTATTGATGATAGGCATTCTGACAGATATAAGGTGAAATCTCATTGTGGTTTTAATTTGCATTTCTCTAATGATTAATGAAGTTGAAGTTTTTTCATATGTCTATTGACCATCTGTATGTCCTCTTTGGAGAAGTGTCTATTCAGGCTCATTTTTTAATTGGATTTGGGGTTTTTGGGGGGGTTTAATTTTATAAGATTTATAAATTTTGGATATTAACTCCTTATCACATGTATTATTGGAGGATATGTTCTCCCATTCAGTAGGTTGTCTTTTCTTTTGTTGATAAAACTTGTGCAAAAACTTTTTAGTTTGATGTAGTCCCATTTGCTTATTTTTTCCTTTCATTTTCCTTTCCCAAGGAGATATATCAGCAATAATATTGCTATGAGAAATGTCCTATATTTAACTGCCTGTTTTCTTCTAGGATTTTTATTGTTTCAAGACTGATAAGTACCATATAATTTACTTATCCATGGAATCTAATGAATAAAATTAACTAACAAACAAAATAGAAACAGACCCATAGATACAGAGAACAGATTGACAGCTGTCAGAGGAGAGGGGGCAGGTGGCTGGGTGAAAAAGGTAAAGGGATTAAGCAAAAAAGCAATCTCAGAGACACAGACAACAGTGTGGTGTAGGGCAGGAGCATAGACTGAGATATGCATATAAAATTTATTTACACAGCCTGACTGGCATGGCTCAGTGATTGAGTGTCAACCTATGAACCAGGAGGTCAGGGTTGGATTCCAGGTCAGGGCCCATGCCCAGGTTGTGGGCTCGATTCCCAGTGAGGGGCATGCAGGAGGCAGCCAACCAAATGATTCTCTCTCATCATTGATGTTTCCATCTCTCTCTCCCTCTCTCTTCCTCTCTGAAATAAAAAATCTTTTAAAAATATATTTTCACAAATGTAAGTAAATACATCTTAATTCTACCACACACACTAATACCACATATCCCATAATCTATAAAAAAAACACACCCACATTTACCTATGCTGCTATTCTAATTTTCTTTTATAATCTACTAAATTTTAAACTTATTTTTGAACTACTGCTACCATTGAGTGCAACTCTAATTCAGGCCAGAAATCTAAAACAAAAAACAACAACAAAAATCACACAACCAAGCATCAGTCACAATGACCACAGAATGTAGACAAATGAGCAAATTTGCCACCAATAATACCAGCAAAGCAACTCTGAGTACCTGCTTAAATAATTGTGGCAATGTTCACACTCTGAAGACTAGCATTAACCATGCCAGTAATCAGTGACCAAGCAAGCTTCTCCTTCACCCACACTGTGGCAATTACAGAAGGTAAAACACTGACCGATTCATAAATCAGAGCTTTATTTACCACTGAGAGCAAAAGACAGGAATTCAAAAGAACTTTCTATGCTGCTCTTAGTATAAAAGCTTTACTAGAAATTGTTTTCTTCGCTTTCTGAGAACCTTACTTATGGGGAATTATCTGTGTCCCGACTCTCCCTCCTGCCTGGATACACTTTGGTTCTGAATATGGAACAGGAATTAGCCAGAGAAGAACTCTTGAGGACTGAGAAGAGAAACTATGACTGTAAACTTTAGCCTTCATGGAAAAATACCTAAACATTAAAACAAAAAATAGTTAAGGCAATCTCAAAAACAAACAACACAATTCTTAGGACTAGAAGGGTCATCCAAGGTGACATGGCCTAATTCCCTTATGTTATCATGATTTAATCATGGTCAATACTGAGTGCAAGCTCCAAATTTTGAAATGCTACCTTTCTTTGAGGTAGTTTTAGATAATTCTCCTATCAGTGGAATGCTTGTGACTCCTGAACGGATTTCAGCCAAGGAGTCTTAGTCTCTGCAGTTTTGGGTTTGGGATTTTCTCATAGTTACTAACCAAGGAATGCTTCTTTCGAGAAGAAAGTTCCAGCGTGGTATCATACAGGCTTTCAACAAAGTTCCTAAGGCAGGGGACATTGACTTCATTTTTAACAGCCTGTAACAGAGATGCATGTTAATACTATATTAATTAAATTGTTGGTTATCAAATCCACTTTGAAGAATTTCTTAGACATGAAAATTTAACAACTCACAGCAGCAACTGGGACAAGAATTTCAACAAAAAGCCCGGCCAGGGCATGCTTGATGTCTTTGTCTTTGACCTCCAGGAAATAATGTGCACATTCCTGGGAAGCAGAAAAAGAGTGAAGGACAGGAACATCGACTGAGATATGCATATAAAATGTATTTACACAAATTTAAGTAAATACCTCTTAATTCCACCATCCATACTAACATTGCATATTCCATAATGTATAAAAGAAACCCATGAATTTAGCATTTACATTAAAATTAACAATGGCCCCAATGACATTTTTCCAAGGCTGGTTTTCTCACTCCCCTCCTACTTCCATCTCAAATCACTAAGTTGAAAGGACAAAGCACTACAATCAGCAAGCAGACATTCATTAGCTGCCTTTCTGGTTGATTCAATCAGTCATTCATTTCCAACAAACTTCTATTGACTACTTACTATATGTGATGCCCTGAGCCCTAGATTGACCCCAAAACACAGACCCCCAGAGAAGGTAAACATGGAAAGAGAGGAAGAGGAAATTATATTTTCTTGAGGCCCTGACATCCCTGGGTACAGAGCTATTTACTTGCTAGCCTGAATTTTAAGTGTGTTTATTATTCAGACAGTTTCACAAGCAAGTCTGGAAGCCTTTCCTTCCCTACCTTAGACAAGGAAACCTTTGCAATAGTTTCCTTAAGCAAGGATTTCTTTGCCTGTAAACTGCTGTCAATGAAAGGATATTTTGGGTTGCCCAGGGATCTAGTAGGAGTTGGCCTGTCCTGAATTCTGACAGCTCCTTTCTCCATCCCGGCCTTGGTAGTAACTTACTGTGGTCTTTATTAGGTATTGTTTTCATGGAAGAGTCAAAGGCTACATGTATATGTTAATATCTATATTAGCTACTACCACTTATTTTCAGTCAACATTGGGATTATCACCAATAATAGTTACTGAGGTCCCCAGTCTATCAATGTCATACTAAAACCTCAGCCCAAGATAGTCACTGCCAGCATGGAAAGCCACTGACAACAGAGGGGAGCTTTATGGTTCCCAGCCCTGTGACCCTTTTCCTACATTATTTTGCATGTGTATAAAAATACTCTCTCAAATCATCATTCAAGTACATAGATACATGAATTAGGTGAGAGGGATAAAAATGATAATAGTTTTATTTTTAATAATAGCAGTTACTGAGAATTCTCAGAGCCCCTGTCTAAGGTTAGTGTCATTATCACCACTTTGGAGATAGGTGAGTGAGGCCTGGGATGGGAAGGTGGGGGAAAGATTAAGTCTGACTTGCCCAAGGCCACAGAGCTGGTTAGTGCTGAAACTTGAATTCAAACCCAAGAAGTTTGATACACAGTCTATATTCTTTTTTAAAAACAGCCTTTTTGAGATATAGTTAACATACCATGCAACTCACCTATTTAAGTGTATTTTCTGTATGTTTACTGTTGTAAAACTGTTAGGGGCAAAAATAGAATATTGGGACTAGCTATGATTATGGGAAATATTAATCATGCTCTATTAACCATGATTGCTTTGTGTTGGTTAAAGAAAGGACATTCTAACCTGGCTGGGAGTTATACGCCCCTGTGACCTGGGAGTCAACCTTGGACCTGGGAGTCAACCTTGGAATTCGGTTCATTCTCATTCAAGACTTGCCTATTATCTTGGAAAGATTTAACAACCTTGTTGTCCAAACAATGGAATCCCACCCCAACCTCCTACTTCCCCATGTAATCTTTGTCTTACCCTATATAAGCAGCTGGTTTATGGGGGTCTGCAGAGCAGATTTTTGTGGGTGACTTGCTGCTCTCCCACCACTGCCTGCATTATTGGAATAAATGCTCATATATGATTCAACCCTATCTCTGCTTAATTGGTTCAAGTAGTGACACAGGCAGCATGGACCCATTGATTGTCTGGTTACAAAACTATCACCATAGTCAAACTTAGAAACTTTTCATTATCCTCCAAAAAAACTTTGCCCTCCTTAGCAGTCATCCCCAATTTCCCTACTCACACTCCCTTCCTCCAGCCCTATACTTTCTGTCTATATAGGTTTGCCTATTATGGGTATTTCCTATAAATGGAATCATATATGTAGTCTTTTGTGTCCAATTTCTTTCAGTTACCATACTATGTTCAAGGTTCATCCAAATTGTAGCACTTATCAGTACTTCATTCCTTTTTATGGCTAAATAATATTGTAGACCACATTTAATTTATTTATTCATCAGTTGATAAACATTTGGGTTATATCTACTTTTTTGCTGTTATGTATAGTGCTGCAATGAACATTTATTTGCATTCATGTTTTTGTGTGCACATATATTTTCATTTCTCTTGGATATACACCTAGAAGTGGAATTGAT